GCGCAGCGCCGGCAATTAGCGCCGGCAATTGCTAATGTGCGCGACGGACGACGCTGATTTTTAATTAATCCGCGCGCCGACAAGAACTGCAGAGCGAGTGAGCGACGAGAGTGGTCGACCGACCCGACATTTATTTGCGTATCGATCCTGCTCGGGCAGCCAGAGCCGTGGCTTGACGTACGTACTTATGTGTGTGTGTGCCCGGAAAAAAACGTTGAACGCGGTGAAGTGGACCGGGAGTGGCGAAATTGTATTATGCAAAGCGAAAGAGAACCGGCTCTTTTTTGCCTCTTGCACGTAATTGTTATCGGACGCAATAGCTGTCGTGCGAAATTGGCCGGCTGCTTTCCTCTCGAGGGTGGAGTCCAATTAATTTGGTCTGAAAGACTAGGAGAGGAGTTTACTGGGAGTCATTCTTGAGATTGAAGTGGCTGCGAAGTCTTTTATTTTTAATTTTTTTTTTTACTTCCATCAAGAAGGGAATTTCTAGACTCTGTGGAATTAATTAAAAAAAGAGAGAAGTTTAATTTAAGAATAATTATTTGTGGTGAAACCAGAATTTAGATAGTCAATCAGTATGGTTAATACAAAATTTTACTTCAAAACTTTCGTTTGGAGGTTTTTTTAAAAATTAAAACTAATATTAATAAATATTTGATGATATCAGTAATTTTGATTTTGATAGCACAACGAGCATTGAATTCCTTTGATTTGAAAATAAAATTTAGAAACAATCAGAGATGTTTTCGAGAGATTGGTTTAAATTTAATTGGCGGATTTGGCAGGAAACACAATATTTGGCGTAGAATGGATATTCAGTTAAACAATCCGCTTTTCATACAATTGCTTTTCCCAAAAATTGAACAAACGGCTCTCTCAGGTTCGGAGAAAGGGTTGGAATTATCCCGGTTGTCTGCGTTACGCTACTCGATTATTTGCCAAATAACAATTCGGAAGCAGCGAGCGAAAGCGTATGTTTGCCGTGAGCACCCAGCCAGGCTCTGATTTCGCGACGTTTAAGGTTCAGCCGGAATGAAATTTAATGAAATTCGGCAGCACTCAAGTGGCGGCCCATAATCAGCGGCGTGTAATAAAATGGAAATGAGATTAAACTTTAAAAAGAGACGCCAGGCTGCAGAGGAGAGACATAACAAAACTCTTTCAGGGGAATTATACGCGGCTCAAGAGAGAGAAACGAGAGCGTCGGCCGTTTGTTGGTGAGTTGACTAACTTGGAGGCAGAAGAGTCAGTCCGCTGGCTTTGCATTAAAATCTCATTTTATTGTGTAATTGGTTTTAAGTGCGCCCAACCACCCCCCTTCTGACAGCCTTCGTCGTCACCGAAGAACCTAAGAACGCTTCTTGCGCAGCATTCTTGGTTGTTCGGCGTCAGCTTCCATAAGAAATAAATTATTGCACATGTTTATGCTGTAAGAATAGTAGATTAGATTTTTATTTAACATTTTTGTTTAGAAAAATCAAATATGTTAAAATTTATTAACTTTTATTTAAAATTACTAAGACAATAATTAAAAAAAAAAATACCTTGATTTAACGTAATTTTTTAATAAACAAGATATTTTATTTTTTTTATATCATATTTTTTCTATACGCTATGAAAAAATATTTTAATATTCTATAATTTTTCATATTAATATTAGAAATATTAAAAAATTATAATAAAGTCAACAGAGACTGGAAAATTATATTGATTAGCATGTATGTACAAATAAATACTTTGCTGCCATCTATGATGCTTGTAGATTTTGATGAATGAAACACTATATCTCTAAATTACAAGGCAGGGATAAGACTTTATTTGTATTTTGATGTACACAGTGACAAAATTAATGAGATTAAATGTTCTAATTTGTGAATATCTCATTTAATCTTGGCAAACACGACGGAAAAAATATGATGACAAAAACGCAGAAATTTCCGTCCAAATATTTGTCCGCCGCCAGTGTGTGACCATCAGCCGGTAAATTTATCCTCGGCCAGTTAGTCCAGCAAATTACGTGTAAAAATAAAACACGCCCAACGCAGCCGGGCGGTTTTTGCCGCTCGCGTAAATTGCGACGGCTTTGTTGTCGGAGCAGCAGGCGCGCAATATTTCTGCCCAAACATACACGCACAGATGCGAGCAACACCCTTGGCGACGAGTTTTCATCCCAGGCATTTTAGTCTCCGTGAATTTTCCTCTGCCGAACAATGCACTCGCGACTGAGTGAGCTACCTAATGAGACTCGGGTAAAAGCTTAGAGGTGAATTCGCCCTTAATCTATGTACCTTGGGCTTTGTGAATGCACGCAAGCGCGAGCTCACTACTTGCTTAAGTAACTTTGCCTCTAATGAAGTTTGCCAAGATTGATTGTTGAGAAACTCTCGCGCTTAATTAAACGCCGCAAGAACGCCCAGGTTGTGACCCCCCGCGTCCTTTTGCATGGTGACTCGGCATGGATGTTTAATAAATTAATAATGAATTTGTTAAGGACATAGTTGGGCTTTATGAGGGCGGCCTGCTATCGACGCTTTATTGTCTACTGGAAACTTTGCCTGCCACAATAATTATTCTCTTCAACAATTGAGATGAGATGCAAAACCACTCCACTGCTATGCATGCTTCAATAATTGAACAATTTAAGCTAATAACGGGATTATTAATTAATAATATTTTACTCAATATTACAACCTATAATGATTTTTATTAATTTAAAGAAGTAAAAAACTTAATAACTTAATATGTCGTTCTAATTAAAGCGTGATTAATCTTCAATGATTTATAAATTTTTGAGGAAAAGAGAAGCCCTTTGATGATTTCATCAGTCGACGTTAATTAAAACGAACATGAATGCACATCGCCGTTTCAGACCGACAAATTATCATTCAGTCCTGCCCGCCTTTGCTGTTAATAGCGAGTCTCGTGTGGGACTAAATTTCGTGAAAAAAAAAAAACACTCACACACACTGGACATAATTGATACCCGCAACCAACGACCCGCTTTGCCAAATGCGTCGCCTGAGCGGAACGTGCTCATCAAACCTTCATTTATTTCATATTTTGCGCCGGCGGATAATCATGGTCGGTGCAAAATAAAATTGAAAACACACTGAGCCCGGTCTGCCGAACGAACAGCCGGACGCAGACGGATATTTATTAATGACGTTGCTGCCAATTCTTTGTGCGGCGCGTCGAATTTAGCGACGCACGCATAAATCGGTGAAAAATGTCCCCGCTGGCATTTTGCGACAAGCGTATTGGATTATTGCTTTCGAAAATGCAAAAAGGCTCCACGCGGATTTTGGCGTAATCTGCTTAAAAGTGCGCTATTGTTATTGTTTCCATTATTTGGCCGCTTTTTTGCCGCAGCGGTCTTTCTGGGTGATTTGAGTTGAGATTATGCGCGCCATTTTGACAATCCTCTGATTCTGTTTGTTTTTCTGTGCAAAATTTTATTATTACTTTTAATGTGGATTATATCGGCGGATAAATCCATCGCCCGCGCACTGATAATGGAAATTCGCAGGTAGGCGTTTTGCGCGGCAGATTTTGTTTTGCGGGATTGCATAACCCGCAATATCCGGGATTCATTTGCTGTTCAACGGGCGGATATTTCCTCATTATTATTAGTTATTATGCTGGGCTGAACCTGCTTAATGAATCGAAACTTTGTCAAAATTTGTTGATTGTGAAAATGATTTTTTTTTTTAATCAGTACGCTTCATTACTGAAACGAAATTTTAATGAGACACCAATCAAAAGCCTTTTTCAGCTGCATTATTCACGATTAAGTACACGAATAAAAAGTCTTTAAATGAAATTTTGATCAAAATTCGGTGCAAAAAATTGAAAATGGTTAAATGGTATGGGAAAAAATCATTTATAAGAATCTAAAATTCTGATACGATTAATGCTACATGTTTGGCAAGGGTAATTTTGTCTATTTTTTGCTCATACAATTCCAGCTTTTGAAGTGATTCAAAATATTATCCTAAATATCTGCTTTAATAATATATTAAATTTTGTTTTAAATTTTTCTATAATATTTATAAGTTTCAATGAAATTAACAATTTACTTTAGTAGTATTGATACAGAAATTCCTTAAAAAATTTAAGATAGCAAATATAATTTTATAAAATATTCCACCATCATCTACCCACAAATTATTTTTAATAAAAACTAACAAAAATAATTTAATATAACTTGGAATTTCTATTTTATGAGCTAAATTTGATTTTTTTTTAATACTTAATCAAAATGATTGGTCTCGCCTAATTAGCCATACAACCATGCCATATGTTTTGTTCTGCATACATTAATTTAAAATAAAGAAAATTTTGAACATGGCTTTATTAAGGAATATCTGCGTCTGAGAAAGATAATATATTATTCACATCAAGGTATTAAATCAGAGAAAAAGAAGGACTTGTTGATTATTCGTCACTTCCACACGAATTCACGGAAGGTTATTAAATATTTGTTAGGGCAAAATAAAAAAGGCGCAGGGCCTCCGTGTGTCGATGCAGCTGAAATATTTAGGCTGACGAGGGAAGATAGCATGTTGTTTGCGTCTCGTGACAGGGGACAAATGACGTGAGCAAGGGAAAGAAAAGGCGTGCGCGCCCTGGAGAGACTGGCAAAAATAAAATTTAAGCCCATCCAGCAACAGTTTTTCTTGCTCTCTCGCACACGTCCTTGTCTCTTTGCCCCCGTTTATGAAACTTTTATTCGTCCATTGTCGTTTTTTACCCGGCGTAATGTACGTGAATCATCTCATCATGACGCACATACACGTATCATGGCCCAGAAGAGAGGCCGGGGTAAACAGCATCTTTCGTCTTCTTCTCTCGTTTCTTTTATTCTCTCCCTTTGTTTCAGCAGCACCGAGGACCATTTGGTGCTTGGGAGGGAGAGAAGAAAGAAAGAAAAAGCGAGTCTTGCAAGCTGTTTTTGTTTTTAACCCATTTAGAGGAAATAAGGCAAAAGTTGGGTCTCTTACCTGAGCAGAATAAGAAGAGCAGCAGCAGCGGCAGCGAAAGGAGGAGCTGTTGTCGGTGCCGTCTCGCCATCTCCTTTTGACCACACATTATCAAGTCCTTTCGCCAAGCCGTTGCTTTTTTTCGCCACCCGACAGATACGGGGAAAAGAAAGAGAAGAGACGACCTTACTCTCTGCCGCTCAGCAGATGCCTGAAGGCTGTTTTACACTTTTTGCGCCATTCTCGGCTGTCTGAAACAATGGCATGGAGAACAAACAGTAATGATTCAGCTCTTTTTGCAGATATTAAAGAGAGATTTCTGCTAATCTCAGGTCGAATAAGCTTTTGTGCAATTGAACTCGGTGAAAATAAAATGGGAAAGTTAACTTATGAAATACAATTTTGTAAGTACTAATTAAATTGTGAGTTAAACTAATTAAAAAAACATTTATAAATTTTAATTTTTAAACGCATTTTTTTTAAAAATAATTTTTTATTTAAAAGTTAATTTAATATTTTCATTTAAATTTTATTATAAATAAATTTTGTGTTATGTATTATTTAAAAATAAAACAAATAAAAAATTAAACACTAAAAATTTAAAGGTTTATATAGATACTTATGCATGTAATTAATTATTACAGAGCAAAAGTTTCTTGGACGAGAGATGAGAGATAACAAGCAGGAAAGTTGAAAAAGAAATGAATAATTATATGATTTTTAATTAAAAAAAAAATAAAAAAGTGTTTAATACAGCGATCAAAATGATCGATTGAAAGTAATAACCACATCTCTGGGTTCAAAGCCTTTTATCCACATAATATTTGAGTACAACGTGGGCACAAAAATTAATTTGCTTAAACTCGATCTTCACCACAAAGAGAGATTAAAGATCAAAGCATGCTGGTCATGCCGAGAGCGCCGCCTCAAATCCCTTGATTCACTCCTCTCTTATTCCTCCATTGGACCGTAAAATGAAAATTAAAAGCAAAAAACGCGAGGAAAAACACATACGAGCGAGTGAGCGCTTTATTCCGAGGGCAAAAAGAGCTTTGGCCACAACAAGCATAAATTGTGTGCCGTGTATATGGGCCGACCGCAAACGAGGATAAAGCGCGGGGAATCAGCAGCAAAAAGCGGTGTCGGCCGCAAAATGAAAATGCAGCAGCTACGAAATCTCCGGACGCGCGTCCAATTACAGCACAGAGAGCCATTTTTTCCGCAAAACAAAACAGGTAGTGAGCGCGGCCGACGCCACGGGAGCGAGCTGATGATAATTATTTATCAACGAGCGAGCGCCACAGGTAAATAAAATACCTCGTGTGATGCATGAACATAACCTTTGCTTATGCCCGAGTGGCATTAAATTCCAGTGTTTGTCGCGCCTAATTCTGATTTACGGCCGTAATCGCCACCGACCTTTGTCACGACAATTTTTAATATTTTCTCCCAAACGCAAAAAGCGAACAATCCCTAAAGTAATTCCGGGATATTTTTCAGGATCACTTTAATTGATAAAAAAAAGAAAGGTTCCATCCGAAATTTATTTCCAGAGAGAAAAGACTGGATCGTAAAAACGTCCAAGTCGAATTTCGCTCCACCGAGCAAACCAACCAACCCACCTCGTTCGCCAAAATAGCTTTTTCTTTGTTGTTTTTTGCCTCTTGGTGGAATCGGGTCCTGAATCGTGATCAGATCAAGAAACCGTTGCTGCATCCCTTCTTGCGAACTAAGCATTGGGATATCCTTCAAAATTCGTCTGCCGCGCCGCGCACGTCTAAATATTTTACGCAGAGAAGGAAAAGAGGTGGAAAATAATTTATTTGCTTGGAGATCTGACGGGAGGTGGAAAACCTTTCTGGTTGAAGAAATTTCACAATAATGATGATATTTGATTAATTAATAAAAAATATCATTAATCAACGCGCTAAAGAAAGTTAATTCTACACTAGAATAAGAAGAAAACTTATCTATCAATCTATCAAGAAATAATTTTATTGCTCAGAGAGAAAGGCTTACTTAATTGAAAAATATATTTACAAAATGCACTCGTTATATTTTTTATGTATGCTTTCAATTGAGGAAATTGTTAATTGTAGTAATAAATTATGTAACTAATGCAACAGAAAAACTATATTCTTCAGAATTTAAATTTTTTGTCTCAATTAAATATTAAGAAGAAATGACATTTAATTTATTAAAAAATTCGTTTTAATTTAACCAAGAACTCTAAATTTCTAAATTTTTCTTTCTTTACACTTCGATCCCCTATTTCTAATTATATTCATGTCGCGTCCCCTTCATAACGACATAAGTAAATTCAAGAGGGAAAATTCTCATATTTTTTTTCTCAACGGACGACTAATTTACTTTGCACTGTTTGCGGAACCTCGTTTTGGAACGATTTTCGTAGAAACACACATATTATTACTGAGCAGCCGAGCGAGCGGAATGAGACGAGGGAAAAGAAAATAAATTCAAAGACGCCGTGAGTTATTTTCGCAGTCGGCGGCAGAAAATCTGCGAACCCCCGCGGACCACGCGATTTATGGTGCAATTTTTAAAGCAACGTACGCGCCCGATACCGTCTCCTCCCTTTGTTTCACGTCGGCGAAATCGTTTCGCCGGAAAATTTCATTACCAAAGCAAAAAGGGCTCAGTTGGAACCTAAAAAAAGAACTCTGAATTGAATCAAATGAGCGAATTTTCGTTTGCCGGCGCTAATCCTGCAAAACACTGTGCTTGCCGCTTAATCCTTTTGCGAATGCATTACAATCACAGCAATTCCCCCTCTCTACAAAGGCTCTCAACTTGCAATTACATTTGATACTTTTAAACTCATTGTCAGCGGATGTTGTCACTCAAAAGCGATCGCATTGGTTTGATTTTAAAAAGAAGCGTAAAAAATTCAATAAATAAATAATAAGTTAAATATTAATTATAAATAAAATATTGTTTTGGTGATATTTTTTTTTTAATTTGTTGCTGCGCATTTAATTCAATGATCTTTAATAAATTTAATTTTGTCCTTTGGGAATTGAGAGTTGAATGACCACCAAAAATAGGAAAAAAAATTATCCGACTAAGTGACTAACACAAAAGACCAGTTTAAAGATTAAAGATATAATTTATTTACAATAAAAAGAGTTAAAAACTTCTTATTGATAAATCTCGACCCGAAAATTGTCTACGATTTTTTTTCATGGATGCGTTTACAGAGAAGAAAATATGGGGTCCAAGGAATTAAATTTACCATTGCGCCTCTGAAGAATATTTATGTTTCCAAAACATGGCCCTCAAAAATTTCGCAATTTACATTACAAATACTTCAAAACTGCAAAACATCCTTTAGGCGTCAATAGAAACAAAAATTAATTATCCTGTCATTACTCTTATTAGAAAATTGCCTCCTTGGATATCATCGTGAATCCTTAGATAATTGTTATTTTCATTTCACCGACCTTAAATAATAATAACAAAACAAAAGAATAGTCTTCATTAATACACTTAAATGGTAGAAAGTCACGACAATAAATTAAATTTTTAATGCAAAGCGATTGTAAATAGTTAAATTAGTTGGTAATTATATGGCACCGGACGAGACAAAAAGGCAACACAAAAGTGAGCAAAAACGGGTGTGAAGAGCACAATGATAATGACCGCGCACTTTGCAGATTAGGATCGGCGAACTTCTGTCTTTGCAGACGCGCCTTTTGTCTGCAACACCAGAGTTACGAGTGTGGACGCGTCGTATGCGGCGAACTTTATGTTTACAATACGGGTGGCTGAGCATAATTTCGTGCTTACTAATCCCCGGCTTTCGGGCGAATTATGACATTACGCTGGACCCTGATGGGCAGTTGACCGATTTCATTATTGAATTACGTACCGGCAAGTGCAGCCGCACAATTCTGGCGACCCACGAAATTAATGTCGCACGCAGATAAGCCCCCGAAGTTTTATTTCCGACATTAAAACGAAAGACCGATAAAATTTTACTACCAAAACTTCGTCGCTTTCAAAGTCTTTTCGACTCTTCCTCCTCTTTACATACATGGACTGCGAGTTTATTTGAAAGGGGTCAACGTAATAAAAGTTATCGTGGAATTCGTGGAGAGACTTGAGGTTTCTATGTAAAATATGAGACGCGAGAGTGAATTTCAGAATCTAATCAAACCCAAAAGTTATTGAAAATAGACTGCGGATTTGAAATTCCTCTGGATATGGAACCTGAGTGTTTGAATTAAAGTTGAACAATAAAAAATTGAATAAACTAGATTACTTTTTTTTATTTAGTTTATGCTTTTTTCGCTAACAAAAGTAAAATTATAATTTAAGCTATTTAATTATATAGTCGACTCAGATTCGGCTTGGCTGCTTACAATTAGAGCAAATTAATTGTGAGAAATGAAAATGAAGCAAAGAAAAGCTAAAAAGTCAAAAGAAAATTTAAAGTAATGTGGCTTTGATTTGGTTTTCAATCAAAATTGTATTAAACATGACATGTGTTAACACATTTATACAAATGCAAACACACTTTGTATAACCTCCTCCCCGAGGGATTACCAAAAACTTTTCAATTTGCTAACATTCAAATATTTGCAATAATTCCGTATTACCTCCACATTTTTGCAAGAAAATATTTTCCGATTCGGTTTTGGATTGGATTTTTGTTTAACTGTATCTAGAATAAAGTAAAAATACTATCTTTATATGGTATAAAATTTTTTCCCTTTCTTCTCATTAATTTTCATTAAATAGAAACAAGTTGTTTGAAAAAAATTTAGTATTTATGCAAATTGGTATAATGTCATAATTTGATTAATAGGATCAATGAATTTTATTTATTTTTGGTTTTGCATGCATAATGGTTCTTTTGTGCTGCATTATGAAATAGCTCGTCACCCAAATTGAGTACTTGGCAGCCGCAGCGTGAAATGCAGGCTTGCACACGTACTAAAAGCCACAGCAGCAGCAATAATAGAACATCAAAAGCAATCAGAGCGCATAAAATCGACATTAAAGAGGAAGATAATAATGATGTGGCGATCGACAAAGCTCTCTCGGCAGGAGCAAAGTAAATAAATGGTAATAACGGCGCGGGGGGCTAATAAAATGCACCCGGCTTGTTATTAGCGTGTCGGGCGGGCGAAAATGCAAAATCGGCCAAGCGTGTGGCGGTGGCGACGACCAGCGCGGCGGCTCTCGTTTTTGCTGCTGTTCATTGCAATTCAGGGCACGCCGTTTCTCGCTTTCTGTGTGCTCGGCAGCCGAAATGGAGCGAAAGCAGCGACAAGAATAAAATTGCCCTCTGACCTGCCTGCGCCGCCGTCTTGTATCACGGACATTTATTTTGCCGCGAGGTTCTTTTAGGCGGAGGAAAAAAATTAGCGGCCGATAGTGATGCAAGTCAGGAGTCGGCCGATCTGCCCCTTTGTATTTGCTCTCTTTGTGGCCAACTTTTCCCATTAAAAAGCGAGCACATAACTTTCCCTGTGTGAGCCAATTTGTGCTGCTATAGCAGTTTCCTTTTTCCTTTGCGCCAACATTGACGTGCGCAACTAAACTGTTTTACTACATTTTTGGCTCCGCTTTCTTTCTCTCCTTTGCGACAGATTGCTCGCTCAAAGCTTTACTGATTCACATGAAATGAATGCAAAAAGATCGTATTGCTTCATAAAATATTGTAATACTTTACAAAACGATGATTCAAATAAAATCATGCGCAATTTCAAATGCATGAGATCCTTTTTCCTCAATAGCAAACTTGTGTGAAAATCGATTTGGTTATTAAATTCTTTAGAATTTTTATTCATCAAAATTAATATCATAATAAGTGTGAAGAAGTGTGACAAAAATTATTACCAGCAAGAGGAATGGATTGGTAAATTTAGATCATGTATAGACTTTGTCAAAACATTGCTAATAATAAAAAAAAATTTAAAAAATATTCTTGTGGCTTCTTTTCCAAATTGAAACCGATTTGTTATTAAACAAGAAATTATATTACAATTAAAATAATAAAATTATGTGTGTTTTAATAAATAAAATATATGAAGTTATTATTTAAAAAAATAATCTATATAGAATATAAAGCTCCATACATAAAATAAAGCAAACTTAATAAGTAACTAATATTTACTACTAATTTTAATTCAAATTATCAAGCGTTGTTTAATTTTTGAATTATGCTTTAATCTTGTTCTATAACAAGTATTGAAATAACTTAAAATTTTCTCGGTTGCATGGATTTTTCTGATTCCTTGTTACACGGCATCCCAGTGGTTTGGTGCAACTGCAGCAGATGCAATAAAAACGGCGAGCGCGGCCAAGCAACACAACATTATCCTGTGCGCTTCTCTAATGCAATATCTCAGCGAGACTGGCAATTTCTGTAATGGGACAGCGGCGTGCACCAGAAGCTCAGCGGCATTTCTCTCAATTGCATAAAAAGGTCGGCAGATCAAAAGACTTCGCCGCGTCGGATCAATAAAATCGCGAAACCGTGGCCAGGGAAATATGTATATAAATTATATTTGGAGGGCTCCTTTCAATAAGCTACCGGGTTTAGCGTCCGACATGATTGATGCGGACGCATTTTCACCTCGCCTGCTCGCACAGATATGTTACATAACGACACACAGAGAGCGGGCGAACTGGATTTAGATCTCATACACTTTGACATTTTTGCACCGAGCAATTTATTGCTGACCAACATCTGTGTTGCTCTCTCGGCACGACCCTCTTCCTCCACCCCAACCACTCCAGAGGCAATAAAAATTTACGCCCAATGTACATATATGCGGCCGAGATGATGAGCGGCTGATGTGGAAATATTGCCTCCCTGTGCATCCTTTCGGCCCTTCGTCCCGCAAAACTGTCACTGCTTTTAGCCCCGGGTGCGAATTATATTTATGACGACCGGCGTTTTTATGCTCCATAGGGAGCAAATTTTTTAAGAGATTTGGTTTTACATATTTCTGCCCATCAAGCTTAATTTTATTTCAACCAGAGTGCACTCGAATTTTTTCTTGTTAAAAATAAAAATATAAATAGCAAAATAATCCTATAAAAGCTTCGATAATTGGGCAATATTAAATTTCATGTAGATTGGAAATGGATTCAATGGAATTTAAAATTGTTGATAATTTTTTATTTGAATACAAGTCAATTGTCAATATTGCCTCATTGACTTCAAGCTATTGTATTAAACAACGATTTTTTTCTAAAATATTTGAGATTTACTACACATTTTAGCAGTAACTACTAATTTAACTAAAGAAACACTCATATTATTATATTGTGTAAACATTTTATGTTACTATAATTTTTTTTTTATCAGACTAAACAGTAAAATTAAAATAGCTATTAATAAAACGATATTTTCTAATCATTTGCATCATTATTATGTTTAGAACCTACAACTATTTATATTTAAGATAAATTTATAATTTTATAAAAATAATAATGCATCGCTAATTTCTCGAGTTACCGTAATTGGCGCGATGGCAGAAATAGTCCCAGCATTGGAATTAGATCAAAATACTTGGAAGGCTTATTCACCATGGTGATATGACGAATGAAGTGCTTTATTTATAACCACGTCATTCAAGCATGAAAAGAGCAGCTATTAATGTTAATGCAACGAAAATCCAACGTGAATTTCCCGCCTACGTAATTTTGATACCCTGTGTTAGATTTTTAGTCGTCCGCGCACCAAATTTCATCCAAAATGCTCCGAGATGCTCTTTGTTTCGTCAACCCTCGTTTTGCTATGGCATTCATCAGAACTAATCTGCCATAACAGCCGAATCATCACAACCCTTGCAGAAATTGTGTGGTTATTTGCAAACTCTGCTTCTATATATTTACAACCCGCAAAGGAGGAAAAACGACTTGTAATTACGACTCCCGCGACTTAATTATTACTCCATTAAAATTTGTAAATTAACTTTAGGGATTACAAATTTTATTTCGCCCTCGCGACCATTACAATTTGCTGTTAAAATTACTTGCACACTCGCCGGCTGGATTGCCTTTTCATTCGTTGCGAAAATATGTTTTCAGCAAAAACCGTGCATATGGAAAAGGCAGCTGATGTGTGTCGGCGAGAACAAAAGCTGAAAAAGAGAGCTTTTCGCAGCAAATTTCAACAAAAGTGGACGATTTGCATTCTCAGAGGAACCAACATTGTCCAAGCTCAAAAACTCATTTTGCAAACAGACCATTTTCAAGAGCTGATTCTCTTCTCTTGCCGAAGCTTTTTGAGCCGAAGTTTTGAAATGAAAAAGCAAAACTCGCATGAGTTGGCTCAATTTTGAGTGGTTTTCCGAAAGTTGTTTGTATGTATTTTTGCTGCACGTCTACCGAACTTGTGTTTGTTTGTTCTCAAATATACGCCAACCAGAGTTAAGGGTTTTAATTATTTCGAGGTTGGGGAGAGAGAGAAAGCTTTTGCAAATTATTGCTGGATGGAAATACGAATTTAGTCACGCGCGATTTGTTTTCGAATTTAATGCTCAGTCAGTCGGTGCGGCTGAATCGGTTTGCCGCCGAAAACGCGTGGCAAACACCATTCGCACTCGCCCAGCAAAGGGAAATTTATTATTTTGTTGCTCGACTTTCCGCCGGCCGATTTCGGTTGGTTCGTCACCAAATCATTCATTATGAATATATATAAAAAGGGTATATTTTTTTACATGAATGCCTTGTTAGAGAAAATAAGTACCGAAAAATATGAGAGCCGAAGAAAAAAAATACCTGAGCGGAAAATTAATAACGCTTGTGTGCTTGTTGCGAGGGGAAATCTGTGTTGAAAAAGTACCACTCTTTGAGCCGTTCATTGAAAGAAAAAAAAGGAGTTTGCCGCACACGCATTGTGGAAAGTTACAAAATCAGCTTTTCGTGTAATCTCTTTGCGCAGAGCTGAGAGAGCGCGTTTAATATTTCCTGCTAAAAGCAAAACTGCCACGGGAAAGTGTGATTTTGCGATTTCTATGTGTGCGAACGCGCACTGAGGGAGGTACTTTTTAATGAGATGTAAATTTACGAGGCGCAGTGAGAGACGCAGCGACAAGTCAGCACCGGCCACATGTGTGTCACTGCTCAAGACGTTATAATTATATTTTGGCATTTTGACGTTCCCAACCCACAATTGAATTAAAATTTTAAGATTTGAGATGAAATGATAATAAGTGGTAAAGGCAAATGAAATGGGTGAGTGACAGCATAATTGTATTTTGTGAATTAAATCTCATTGAAACAACGCATTTGTATTTCTGACGTTTTTCAAAATCAATTAGGCAACGCAAAACAGTTAGAATAAAAATTAAAAATATATACCTAACTAAGTATCTAAATTCAATATTTTAAACTGTTCTCACAATCAGATAGTTAACAGTATACATGTGAGGATTTGAAAAAAAATGCTGTATATTTAAATACTGCTAATTTTCAATCAGTGAATACTAAATGCAAAATATATATTAAGATGAAATTAATGAAAGTGAATATTTTGATTATACTTTTAAATTTAATCTATAGTAAATGCACAGAAATACATTAATATACAGTTATATTTGGAAACAAAGTATATCATATCATAATATTTCAGAAACTTTTTAATTAAATAGTTTTTGTTCTAATTTTTTTCAATTTATTTCAAATCTTATAGTAACGTTTAAAATAAAATATATAGCATTATATATAAAGCTTATTAAAAAAAGAAAAAAATTGAACAATTTTATTTTAAAATAAAAAAACATGTTTTTTGTAAAATTAAAAATAAAGTATACTTGTTTATTAAGTAATTTATTTTTAAAAACAAAATTAATTTTACTTTAGATAACTTGCAAAAGAAATATAAAATATATCACAAAAGAGATTAAAATGCAGAAAATGGTGTCAATTTGCTTCACTTACCGCTAAATGAAACGTTGCAAGGAGCGGCGGCGGATTCCGTGCCCGTCTCGTCGAGCGAGGGTGACTGAGGGAGATTTTAAAGAGCGACCAAGCACACTACTTGTGATGCAGAGAGGGCTAACTGAACTGAAAGGGCGCGAGCGATCCTCGGCTGGCGGCGGCGGTCGGGCAGGCGCTGCAACCCGGCAAGCAGCTCTCCCAGCACATGCGTGAATAAAACACGCTGCGCCCCGAACGAATGCCTCGGCGGCTCCGTCCGACCTAACGTATCACGTTGCGGCTGTTGTGACTCTCGAGTGTGCGATTGTCACTCGAGACCAAGCAAAGATTAATCACATCCCTGGAGAGGATAATTATATTAAGTAGGCGCTTTAATACGAATGCAGTCCGCGGGCTCGATGCATATGCATGAGGGCAATTCCGTAATGTGCATGTGTGGGGTCGCCGCGCAGTTCCGTCGTTTCCCTCTCGGCAAGCAAACAAACCTGATGTTTTATTCAGTAGCAGCGCGAGCGAAATTTTTAACGGCGCACGAATTTGTGTGTGCTGCATAAAATTAATTAAAAATTCACGCAAACTGCGCGTCGTCTCGCCTGCTAATTTCGGTATTATTGTTATTCAGCAATTTGCGTTTGCGGCGGCAAGTGAGAGAGCTGCCGCGTCTCGCGATTCGGCACAGGGTGTCAGCTGGCCAATTTGCGTCTCGAATTGACGCGCAAACAAACTCCACCTGCTCCGTAAACTGACTTTCACTCTCTCTGAACGGAGCACCGGGCTAATTAGAATATTTTCCTAAACACTTAAGAGATTGATAAGTATCAAACTGAAGCGTCTGCAAGTTTCTCAAAGTAATCAAATCCTGACTAATCAAAGTGAAACCTGGATATCTGCTGGGCTGATCAATTGCTCAAAATCTTAAGGACGATCAAAATATTTAAGTGCACAAGCATGATCCGCTTTGCTCAATTTAGCTTCAGGGCGAAAAGTTTTAGTGATTCAATATTAATACTCAATATTTTTAAATTGAATGGTAATACTCGAGGTGGATTTCATGAAAAATTGAAACCGGGCGAACCTATATATTGACTTGGAACAAAAACTCGAAATTCAACTTTTTCCTACAACCACGCAAGAAGCTAATGTAGGAACTTTTGCAGTCAAAATTCACACAGACCAAAGACGTATTAAGAGTAATGGTAGTCCGGAATCTTCAGTGGAACTGATGAGAAAGGCACTGGATCAATATAACTGCAAACTATATATTGACTTGGAACAAAAACTCAAAATTGGGAGAATTTAATTTAATAAGAAAAATAAAATAAGGAGAATTTAATTTTATAACTTTATTTAATTAAATTCTCCCTAATTTATTTTTAATTTTTCAACATTCCTCCACTTAGTTTTAGTTGGACACAAGAAACCCTAGGTTTTAAAGTACCAGCAGACCGCAGGTCGCCTTTGGGGTCAGTTGTCTTTATTTTTTCATTTTTTGTTTGCAACGAGGTTCGCCCGGTTTCAATTTTTCTCAATATTTTTGTTTGAAGAAGTTGACACTCAAGGAGATGATCATGGAATTGAAGAAATCAGGCTTTTCCTCGTTGAGCCATTTGTGTTTTTAATGAAAATGTTTACAACGAGGAAAAGCCCGATTTCTTCATTTCCTCAATAAATTTTGTAAGGCTTTGCAAATGAATTGAAATTGAAACAAGAATTTAAAAAGTTAATATTAATACAAATGAGCAGAAAAGGCAAATGAATTTCATTAATTTTAAGCAAATACATATTTTAAATTGCTAACTTTTTTAATAAGGAGAAGTATAAAATTCTGCCCAAGAAAGATAAACCGTTTCCTGATTAAGGATATGAAGAAAAAAATGTATATTTTTTTATTTCTTTTTATATAATTTTAAAGCTTTTGATTTGGCCCTTTAAGCTGTGTAAAAAAATATATTCAAAGATTTTCCCTCCATTTGACGCACATAAACCCACAGACGAAAAAGCACTTTTCTTTATTGGCGCTTGGTTGTAACCGTGAGCTGTAAAATTCACCGCAGTAAACAGAACGTAAACTCGACGCCCCGTATCGAGAGAATAATCTGAAAATCTCCCAAACGCCCTTCTGAGTTCCGGATAATCGATAATTCCGCGAAATTAATACACCCTCTCAAGAGATAAAAGATTCAATAAGATGCATCTCTGTCGAAATGGAACTTTGATTGGCCGGAAAGCTGGCGAGCCGATCGACCCTGGCACGGGTTGAAATGAGAGAAGTTCTCTCGCCAAACGAATTGCTGAGCTGGCCAGGAAAAAAAGCAGCACCTCGTGCAAGAAATTCCTTGCAAGGACGAAAACACGCGGAAATGAGTCGTGTTTGGCCGCATGTCCTGGTGACAGAGCAGAACATTAGGCCTGTCACTAGGTATTGGGACTGTGTCACGTAGTGGAACACTCGAGTCTGGCTGGCTCAGTGTCAGGTCAGAATTTTCCCTCTTCTGTGTGCCAAAACCATTCGTGTAATGGTCTTACATAAAACAGTGGAGAGAGGGCCTGGCTGGCCCACTCGTGATGTTATCAAAATCTAATTCTCGGAAATGGGATTCAAAGAGCAACGCGGGGGAGGAGGAGGACGTCGAGAGGGAATTCTTTTCCTCTTTTTCTTCTTCTACTGTGGTTCTTTGTGCCACCACTGCAGCTCCGATTGCATTGTTATATATAAATAAGTAGAGAGATCTGATTGATACTGATATGTGCGCCTTTTCGAGACCTGGATGGAGCTCCTCCGTTTCTCTCCAGCTTGATTCGAATCTCGCAAAAGGGGCGCCTTCAAATTCGATCTTTCGGCGATGGCGATGGTGATGGAATGAAATAATTAATTGAGATATTCCCGACGGCTGCAATTCAATTGAGACGTCTTAAAAGTTCGAGATAAGAATTTTTGCACCATTAAAATGCTTAAAATTGAAAATCGGTGTAATCAATAATCAATCTGGATGTGAATTACCCATATCTGGATGAGATTTTATAAATAAATATTTCATCAACAGATCATTAATGATGCAAACTTCATTTAAAATTTAAATATAAAAGTGTAAAATTAAGTAGTAATAATTAATCATTATTATATAAACAATAATAAATAGATAGAGATTGACTCAAACTTTTGAGGAAAGTGAAGCAGTAATACTGGGTTGCCCTTGTTAAAAATTTTTATATTCAAACAGCAAATAGCTTCTTCTTTTACTGTCTGCGAAATATCTCATGTGCAGACTGTGATCAAATGTGGTGAAGCCGTTTTTTTTATTCATTAAAGCAATTTTCACTGAGGAAAAAGCCCGTTTTCTTCACTTCCGTGATCAAATCCTCAAATGCAAATTTATTCAAAAAACAAAAAAATTATTTATAATTTCGAGGAATAACACTAAAAATTTATTTACTTAAAAATTAATTTTTCCAGCACTCTACTGTCACCTTTTATCTTGTTAAATTTTAGCTCAATATCATTAAAATCTTTTGATATTTCAATAGAAACTTGGTTATAATGTGTTTTACAAGAAAATTTTCCAATAAAAAAATGGGACATAATTTTTATAACACATTGAAAATGCAAAAAAAAATTGAAGCATATTTTTCATTTGCATGACTTCAAGCAGGAAGAATGAATCTTGACTTTGCTTGACTTCTGTTCCTCTGCATTGTTACACCGACAGATCAGATTATGCAATTATTCAAGCCCCACTCGCACCATGTCCAATTTGCCTCTGCATAATAAGGAATGTGGGTGTGCCTGTTGCGATAACAGCGTGTTCATGTGCGACAAAGGAGCACACCCGAGATGGATCGCCGTCGACACGTCCTCGCAAATCTTGTTAACGACTCGTTGAATGCGAATCCTCTCATCAAGCAAGCCATCCCTCTCATGCATACATTTGGACCTCTCTTCTCTCTCTCTCGCTCGCGCAAAACAACAAACATCGGTCCCTCTCTCCGCGTATATTATTCATTATTGCGTGCACGTATAATCATGTGACGCGCGCCTAATGAGATTCTAAAAGTTGCACGCAGCAGCGTCGTACGCGGATGATTTACGAGAGTTTTGTTTGAATCATTGGATTTGATATCCGCGTCGCGCGCACCCAATAATCCAATTTAAACTTCTTGTCTGCAAGTCGCGCAGATAAAAACTTTGGCCGCGCCACCACTAGAGAGAGGCTCTTTTTTAAATTGCACGCTGTTTTACATGCGGATGTCAGCACGCCCGTCACACAGGAATCTCTGCGTAATTTAAAATTGGACACACGTTCCGCCGCGTGGAGGTTTGCCCGCCCCTCACACATACCGTCGCGTAACTCTGGAAGAATTTTCTTGCATGGCTCTAAACGCATTCATTTCAATGTAGCATCCGATTACTAAATTTGAATGGAACAGAAATTTTAGTCTTGATAATATTTTATGCATTTTTTAAATCAAGCTTATAAAGATATAAAGTATTCACATGATTACAATTACGTCAATTACTATTTGCCGCAAAATCTAAAAAATCTGGGTTCAAAAAAATGATGTCAAATTTTAAATTAAAAAGATTTTCTTTTGGTGTTGTAAATATTTTCCATAAAATGTCCTTTTTTATAAAAAAAAAAACTCATATATACAACTATAAAGTATGTGAATATAGAGCTGAAGTGCTCGGCTTCTCCAATTGGAGTTGGCCCGACTTTTAACTTCTTCTCAAATAAAAATACTTTAAAAAAAAATAATTTATTTACATAATTTAGAGTATTGGGAATTTATTGGTGATTTACGATTTTAAATATTTTTGCAACCCCTGTAACTGAGAATATGTATACTGCTTGCAAGTATTATTACTTTCTCCGTTTATTATTTTATTTTAAATATTATACATCCAAGACAATTAAGTTGCAGGCTAAGAACTCGTTAATGGCAAAATCAAATCATGTCTTTACAACAATGATGGCCAATATTTCAAGTTGTTTTAGAATAATTGCATTAATTGCCTTGATTGCATTGAATTGATTGTCATTATGGAGTCCTTAAATTAAACGCTTTTAAAAAAAAAACCGTATAGATATAATGCAACGCTACAGTAGGAAACTAGGACATAATTTAACTTACAAAATTAATTGGCAATCTAAATTAGGATCTTG